CAGAAAACCTGGTGCTATCGAACCGTTCCTTTTATATATACCTTATAGAATTTAGAGGAATATAGAGACTATATACCTGAAAGAATTTAAGATAGAATACTCGTGGTAATACCTCATAGAATACTCCTTTATACCTTATTCCTACACTGTGTACACAATCAAATACCCTTACCTTATAGAATACCTTCTAGAATACCATCTGTATGTACCTTCAGAATACCCTATAGAATCCCCTGTNNGAACTTCAAAACTCCCGGATCCAAGATTCAAGATTCAAGATTTCAGGAAAAAGGTTTCCCCAGAATCTTGAATCTTGAATCTTGAATCCATGAGCTTTGAACTTCAAAACTCAGTTTTGAACTTCAAAACTTCGTTTCTATATACACACCTTATTGAGTACCCTATATCCTATGTAATACCTATATAGAATACCTTCTATACTACCACCTGTAAATCTTATATACCTTACATATACCTTATATAATACCTTCTGCAATACCCTGTAGGGTACTCTATTATATAAGGTAATACCTCGGCTATGACTTTTGATATCAAAGTATATAGGGCGGGTATTCTGTAAGGTATTCTATAGGCTATTCTCCGAGGCTTCGGACTTCCTTCATCTGAGAACCATTCTTCAATAAGCTAGAATTTAATGGTGAATTCTCAGATCTTAGGCCCTTCCTGTTTTTTTTCTATATATAGACCCTTATCTATAGGGCATCATGTAGGGTATGCTACAGGGTATTCGATGAGTAATCTACAGGGGATGAAGAGGGTATCATACATACCGGGTATTCTAAAAGGTGTTCCATAGGGTATCTCAGATGGTATTCTATAAGGTATGTATAGGGGGTATTATACATTCTATGAGGTGTTCTATAGGGAATTCTATAGGACATTATGCACGGTATTCTATAGGATATTCTGTAACATCTATACAAGCTGTAGTATAGTAGGTCTTCTGAAAGGTAGTACATAGGCTATAGGGTCCTCAATAAGGTGTATATATATATATATATGCGTTTGAGGATTTGCTGCTGCAGAGGCCTGAAGCCGATTGAAATTTCAATGGGGGGCTGGATTCAAGATTCAAGATTCCAGGAACACTTTTCTGAGAATCTGGAAACTTGAATCTTGAGCCCGGGACCCGATTGAAATGTCAATCGGCGATTGAAATTCCAATCGGCTCAATCGGTTTCAATCGGGGACAAGATCCTTACTCATCTCGGTTGGGGATGGGATTCCTACTCCTCTAGGCCTTCGTCCCCTAAAAGTTTCTGGCTGTAACCCCCCCAATGAGGAATGGAATGCAAACCACCTATGACAGCCCCAAAAAGGTAGATAACTGGGGGGGTGCCATATATATATATATATGTATGGTCTCGATGCACGCCATCGAATACTTCCCAATGATTGATCCCAGAGGCTGAAAATCAAGGAGGGCCCTCGGGGGCGGAGTTTCTGTCTACCCCGTGATCTTAAGGCTGCACATCTGGGGGCTGCTGGGCGAGTTTTAAATATTCCGCTTCCGATGCCTGAGGTGCCTGCTGGAGAGCATGCCGCCTGCGCTGAGAGCCTTGTCTTCAACGCGCCCTGCGCAAACGTTCAGGAGGATTGACTCCTGCTTCGGCAGTGACTGCTTCCTGCAACAGTTCCAGGCTCCGAACCAACGATTGCATCTTGCTTGAGCCTGCAAGCACAAAAGGTGCTGACAAGCAGTATATTAGCCCCTGTTTCCAACTCCAGTCGCGAAGTACTACAGTAATTACTGCACTGGCAACTTCCAAAATCATTTCGTCTTTTCTATGGCGTCTGCTGTTACACCTCGAACATCCTTGCATGAATCCTAAACCCCCAACCCTAAACAGCGTGGTGAAGGAGATTGAGGCACGAATTGGCCTCAACAAAGACCGAAAGAAGCTCCCAGGCGGCTTGGCGGTGCAGTCTTCAAGAGTTTGGATCAAGGGCAAGGCTTAGTGTACAATACCACACCTGTAATTTTGAAATTGATGCCAGTAGCTGCTAGGTGAGGGTCACTTGGGGCGTGCAGTGCTACGCCAGCTCCAAATGGTTGCCTCTGCAGTCAATGTTTAAGAACCACTGGCCCGCTGTCACATGCCCAAACGGGAGGGTATCCTGAAACCCCGAACCCACAAACCCACAACTGCAAAGAAAGGGGCAGAAAGCCCGAAATCCGGCGACAACGCGGCTTTTCAAACAACTCTGTGTGCATGGGTAGTATAGTATAATCCCCAATATACTGTAGCATTTCCATTCTCTTCTCCATTATCCCTATATCCCTAAATAACCCCTATATAACTCCTATATGATTCTTATATAATCCCCATATGATCCCTATGTGAATCCCTATATGATTCCTATATAATCCCCAACATAATCCCCATATGATCCCTCTATAATCCTTGTATAATCCCTATATAAGCCCTCTATGAGCCCTACATACGCCCTATATGCGCCCCACATGCACCCTCTTATAACAGGTAACTACACTCTCTTGGCGTCGGAGCCTGGAGCCTGCACCAAGGTGCACGCTCCAAACTGCAGAGAACACATGAGCTATAGTCCTGACTCCTTAAAAGGGGGTTCTATAGGGGATTATAGGTTATATGGGGATATATAAGGGATAATATAATATAGGGTTTAGGATTTAGGGTCCAAGCTCCTTACAAGGGGTTCCATAGGGGAGTGTAGAAGATAGGGCTTAGGGTTTAGGTCTTAGGGTTTAGGGTCCAAACTCCTTAAAGGGGGTTCTATAGGGGATTGTATAATGTAGGGTTTAGGGTCTAGCCTCCTTCTAGGGGTCATGTGGAGGATTATATAGGGGAGTATTATGGGGGATATTAAGGGGGATGCTAGGGGTTTGGACTCTAGCTCACATCATGCAGCCGTCTAAATAACCTAAGGTGGGCCAGACTGTCTTCTGGGGATGGCATACGATACGTTGGAGATGTATGTGATATCTCTGCGGGAAGTAGAAATTTCTTTGTAGCAATACAGTGTGTAGTCCTCAACTGGTAGATCTTTCCGTTTGCAAAGACTTTCCATAGGGCATGTCAACGTACGCACGTAGCAAGGCCCTTTAGACATTGCAAGCTGCCGTGATTGAAGGCCAGCCGAGCGACGAGCCCTTTTGCAGATCCAGGCACGGGCCCGGTGTTAGCTCGACCACCTTCTACAATATAATAGGGTATATGTTGGGGTTTTACAGGGTAATGGAAAATTCAATGGAGACTACTATCAGAATTTAGAGGAATGCATGATTGCGGAATCACCTCACAACTACGAAAGACGCCTCGTACCTATGATTCAAAAACATTCCTTGGTGATGGGTGATGGGTTAAGGGTAAAGGCCCATATCATTGAAGGGGAGGTGCTGATGCAGGCTGGCCACAGATGCCCCGGATAGTCAGGTATCATCGTAGATGATCACGTCGAAGGAGGGCAGGGCAAGCCAAGTTGTCTGCCCTCCGTGTTGCCAACAAGCGAATTAATGACATATGCTTCAGGCCCCTTCACCGACCTTTTCGGCTTCCGATACGTGACGGATGGACCGAACTGCCATGTCCTGGGATGCTCGGAAAGTCAGGCCGGCTGTGAAATTGTCCGATAGGCGTGGGGAGAGGGGCCCATCGCATACCCAAAATACCATGGTCCCTGTCCTTGGCTACGAATGCGTCATCTTGTGAAGCCCTTACCTGTCATAGATCTTGTTGAGCGCTGTGGTGTAGTACTTGAGGCAAGTGCAAAGAGGGTCCATTCTGGTTTTTTAATTCCTGGATCTCCCACATAGCGAGACACAATGAAGAGAGCCCCCGAGCTGAATGAGAAGTTTCGGGTTGAATCCATGCCTCTCTCTCTCTTACGGGCCCCCTTGGGATCCTTGTGTTCTTAATTGTTCTTACATGTACCCAGCAAATCCCTACCAGCCGAGGACCTCACTTGGGACATCTTAGGACGCATACAGAATGTGGGCCCCTATGCTGGGCCCTGGCTGACCTTAGAAGAAAGGATCGCTTCAGGTCAATTGTTTCTTGTTTTTTCTCTGTGTTTGGATGATATGGCTAGTGAATTTCCATGTAAATGTACTGTATTACGGGAGGCTGTCAGCACGGTCACGCGGACGGCCATTGCTTCAAGCGTAGGTGGCCATCAATCCATTGATTTGACTTGTTTTCCCTTGGGTGGAAAGAACTTCGGGCCGCATAAATCAGGTAGAGGCCAAATCTCTGCTTCACGATTCGATGTTCTCGTGACGCAGCCATGGCATGTGGCGTCAAGATAAGATGTTGCTGTCTAGGCCGGGTTCCATGTAAACCACTCTTGGGCAAAGAGATTTGGACTTCAACCATGCGCATGTGCATAGTATCTACAAATGAGGAAGCCCACATATTCCTGTGTGTTTGAGCAGACGAGCCGCATACAAGCGCAATCGAGTATGTCCTGAGTTGCTTCAGAGGTTCTTTACCTCTACCTTGTGGCTTAGAAGGGAGCCATGTAGTCACCATCAGGACTTGTTTCCAGGCTCGAGTGTCACCCCTTCTTGAGAACACTCATTTGATTTCACTTGTGGCGCAACAGGTGCACAGCTTGTGCGACTTCTCCACCAACTTCTGCAACATGTTCAACCTTTACTGCAACGAGGCCTGGGAATCGCAGGAAGAGTGCTTGGAGTTCAGGGGGGGGAAGTACCAAAGCGTTTGAATCAATGCTCACTGGCCTTCACCAAACGTCCTTTTATGTAGAGCCCTTCTCCTCCTCGATAGGTCCCATTTGCCCAGCAGTTCACAGCTGCCGTCATGGACTGGGCAAAGGGGCCCTACAAGAGATAGGCCTGCACAGACGGGTTTTGACAAAGCTTGCACAGGCCCCTCCATTCAACGTCTCTACACCCATTGCAAAGCATCTTCGAACTCGGTATGTCAGAGTTAGCAGCAGGGTCCGTATAGAGCGCAGGTACGCAAAGCAGTTGCTTTTTCACCCTGAGACCCATCCTTCTCAAAATCCAAAAAAACTTGTCCACTGTGGAAGCCTTTCCATGCTGGCTTATAAAAAAACCTCGCAAATCACAATCCACAGTTCTAGCCTTGCTCCTTGCAAGCATACTTTTAACAAGCTTCTGTGCTCCCATGATAATCTCAACTTGAATAAAGATAAACTGCAAGTAGTATTGCCGTGCTTTCGCAGGCAAGCCAACTGCAGGTGAGAGTGTGAAGTGCCTGCTAAGCCACAGTCTCCCCAAACCCCCAAACACAACGCAAGCACTTTGAGGAACCCTGCCTATGCGTATCATCCTGGTTTCCGTTGATTTGCTATGTTCTTTGCCATTAGATTCTCTACTAGTGGGGGTACTATCCTTATTCAACCCTATATAACCCCTATAATTAGCAGCTTCCATGTCATTTTTCAGTTTCCATTTTCCATTTGATTCTCCATTCTTGGGGTAATATCAGTAGCCCAGCATAGTCCCTATATAATAATATAACCCTGATTACAAGGTCCATATAAGCATATATATCCCCTATGAACCCTAAGCGAGCAGGTTATAGCTCAGGGCGACCCAATCATGACAGGCGTTTGCAAGCTCATACGGAAGCTTTTCTCGTAAATATTCCCAACTCCTAAAATTGCATCATATAACGTATACTGAACCTGAAGAGTTTCTGCCCCCGAATTTTCTTACACGTACCGCCCTTCCGCCCAGGCTGATGGCTGCTCCCCTGTTCACAGCAATCTGGACTATGACGAGACGCGTTTTGACCGAGTGTGCGATCATAGCTGGAAGCTCCTTGGTGGCACAGGGCCTGTGATACCTGTGAGCTTTAGGAGGGGCCCTTAACAGTGACCCCTGGAGGTTACTGGAGGTTATGGGGGGTGATATGGGTACTACATGGTTATATAAGGGCAATGATAACCACATAAGGTGGGATTAGGGCTCCCTTCTAGGGGTCCTGTGGAAGAGATCCTCATACTAGGCCTATACTAGGGATGATACGTGCAAACAGGATGTTGTGCTTCAGCTCAGTGAGGATGGGGTAAAATCCTGATGTAAGCCGGCCCTATTATATACCCTATGTAACCCCCATATTTAATAGCTTCCATTTTATTTGTCACTTGATTTTCCATTATGGCGCGAGTCCTGGAAGAGTTTGCCATGGTGGCAGTTTCCATAAGGCCTGAACCCTAAAGTGGATTTTTTGCGCAACGAGCCCCAGGAAATGATCCAGAAGATGAATACCGAAACAGGGTAATTAAGATTTCAATTTGCACGAATTCCTGTTTCCTGGCGGTCCTACGGCGAAAATTGTTGCTTTTCGTTCTCAGTGGTAAAAGAGGAGAAAAGTACTCACCAAAAGATGTGATCTATGGACCCCTCCTCAATCATCATACCCCTTTGGCAAAACCGTTGCCAGTGAAGTTACCACGTTGGAAGCGCCGCATGCTTACCACCAATGTTCACGGATGCCATCGAAGAAGGTGTGGAGGCTTCGAGACCGTGAAGTCTGAGTGTACTCGTCGCTGAGTCTTGGTTCAAGCAGTCAGTACCATGTTTTCTGCAGAGCATTGAAAGGTTGGGCAGGTCCGGCGAGCCGTTAGCATTAGCGTAGGCGCTAGGCAGAACCCCTGCCAAATGTGGACGTTCAAAGCATGCAACATCTTGAAGGCGTTTGTTTGCAGCCATCGACCTTCGGCACTGTTTGAAAACAGGATATTTGTTGGAAGTTGGCTGCTGCAGCTGCTGCTGTTGTTATTGGTAGCAGTAGGTCAGTAGTGGCTTCAACAGCAGCAGTTTTTGTGATTGGAGGAACGACTGCTGCTTGAAGTGATTGTTTGCTGGCCACACACCTCATGCCCCGCCTTGCTGAGGAACACATGCTTCTGTGACCAGCCGGCTTTGATGCGCTCAGCATCGCTCAGGGATTGCGGCTGAGGACAAACTTCAGCCACTGGGCATGCCTTGACAACGAGATTTTGCTTGTCTGGATCCGTCTGAGCAGAACATAGGACATTGGAGTTTCCCAATCTTCCCCCATATACAAACATCCGTGATGACGTATGCGTTCTGGAGAATCCATTTTGCCCCAGGGTATATATAAAGTCCATATCTCCTCAAAACAAGACAAGTCCAGGCAGCAGGCGGCTCAGATGAATCCCCGACACCTCCTATCCATCCTATCCTTTGAAACGAAAGTTGTGGATGCAGGCATGTGAATGGCTTTCTCACTTAGCTTGCAGGCTGTGCGGGTTTGTGTGATGGGGGATTGGGATCTCGGCGTTGGGTCTTGAGGGTTTGCGGTCTCAGCTTTTCCGATCTTAAAATAGTATCCGCCTTTCCGTCCCGTCGCGGCAATGCCATGTGGATCACTCCAACTCTAGTATGACATTGACAACCTTTGTCTTCGCTACAATTAGCAAGTTGCGGTTGCCAATTACTGCAAATATGACTTCGACTATTATTCTGCGGTAGACCTCATCATTTCTATTATACGGACAGCTATAAGGTCACGTAAGCATGATCCAAGGTTGCTCCTTCTGAGCACTTGGCTCTGCCAAGCCGTGGTCGCAAGCTACATGACTACGCGCGTGCCAAGCCAGTCGCAAAACATCCGCGTCTTTACAGTGTTCACCTGCTGCGCCCGAAGCAGCAGCTGCTGCTACTACTGCTACTACTGCTACTACCACTACTACTACTACTACTACGACGACGACGACGACGACGACGACGACGACTACTACGACGACTACGACTACTACGACTACTACTACTACTACTACTACTACTACTAGTACTACTCCTCCTACTACTACT